AAATATTCAGCATACCTTTTTTTTATGATTAATAAGACGCATATTCAACACTTGAGTATCTTCATTTCTGAAACATTTAGCATGCACGGTTTTTTTTTTTCAGTCGATACAGGCGAATATAACACTGAAGACATTAGTAGTTTTAGACGTGATCAGTACGTCAGATCTGGCAGATGGTGGTTAGTCCCTCAAACCTAAATTATAGGCATGCGGCCAACCCTTACTTTTGACACTTCTTTTTTCTTGTACATAAGATATTGATTGAGCAGGTGTGAGTGAAACACAGGAGGTGCGGCTGTGCTTCATGATTGTTTCTGTACACGTGAGAGCACCACTTGGCAAGTTGTCCCTCAATAGTGGCCATCAACGTGCAAGAATGTGTTGCATTAATGAACACCAAAGTTGCTTTTATTCGTGTCAAACGAATACAAAAATAGAAAAATATATAGGCAAACGCCCCAGCTCTGATGAGCTAGATGTATTTTTTTTTTTTAAATTTGTAAATACTGACAGACGTCTGTGAATTTGCAAACACTATGACGCCAAGGAAAGAAACAGAATTTGTCAGTCTTGTTATATTAATATTGTTAGACATGAGAGAGGGATATATATATTATCTATATAGTGAAATTATAAATGAATGACGGATGATAAATGAAAATTAGGGGAGGAGGAGGGGGGTGCAGGCAGAATCACATGAACACGTAAGCCTTATGCAACTCCTTTGCTCAAAAATATTACTAAACTAACTACTGTCTGTTAACAGTAATAGTAGATATCCTGTTCCTAAGTTATTATAATGGTCTTGGTTAACTGAGGACGTAAAAATAATATGAGATACGGAACCCACCCCAGCTTGCCCAGGCCACAGAAGGCCAGAGAAATGTATATACTGCGAATATATTTTCTTACTACAACACTAAATTGCTTGTCGAATTCGGGCTTGCCACTCCCCATCCCTCGGATCAGCAATGATTCTCTCCCAATCTCCAGGCACTGTGTAATTCCTATGGGGCTACATCAGCAACGTGCTGCTACCTAGAGTAATCATATGAAAAATTTCTAACAAACCAACAACTAGATTATCTCCACCATTATTTATATTAATACATTATGATGTTCAATGCCTTCACTATTAGATGGAAGCACTCAGACTTACGTGCAGCGCTGTATGGGGCATAGAGTGCTACCCTTTAACTATCATATTCTGTATGATACTCTGTATGACAAAGAGCAGGAATAAAAGCTTTTCTACCACACATGATGAGTTCCTTAAGCCAAATGTTGAAATCTGTTAGTCTAACTGGGAGACCAGGACAAAGATATACCTGGAGTATGTCTGGACCTGGAGTTTACCTGGAGAGTGTTCTGGGGGTCAACACCCCCGCAGCCCGGTCTGTGACCAGGCCTCCTTAGGTCAGTGTCCCAGGATGCGACCCACACCAGTCGACTAACACCCAGGTACCCATTTTACTGATGGGGAACATAAACAGGTGGAAAGAAACGCGTCCAATGTTTCTACTCTGGCTGGGAATCGAACCCAGGCCCTCACCGTGTGAAGCGAGAGCGTTAACCACCAGGCCACCATGTCATATTAGTTGACACTCTTCACTATAGTAGTTATTATTAATTTATATATTGTCATAAAAGAGTAATTATTGTTATTTTAAAAGTTCTTTGAATAGTTTTAAGATGTTTAATATTTGTATTAATTCTTTAGTAAATTTCATAAGTATAATTAAAATTTTCATGCATATTGTAATATATTTGAATGATAAAAAGCATATGAGGGATATTTTGTGTCAGCTCAGATAAACATGTAAGCATTGCGAATATGTAAATTCTTTTTTTCTGTGGAGGACCTGCTCCCCTCAAGGAAGGTTCCTTGATGTTGGTGAGGGGCTCTTGATTTAGGGAATTGGATCTGTGCTCCAGTTCCCCAAATTAAGCCTGAATGCCTTCCACATCCCCCCCCCCCCAGGCGCTGTATAATCCTCCGGGTTTAGCGCTTCCCCCTTGATTGTAATAATAATAATAATAATGTGGAGGACCTGCTAAGGCTTCTTTTATTTATTAATGCATTGCAATGTTTTAAACTAAAAATCATAATGTATGGAGTATTAAGTCATGTTAAAGTACATGTTCATCATTGTGGTTTAGCACAACTTTTTGAGTATAATAATAATAACAAATGTTTGGGGGGGGGGTCACTCTTATTATGTAGTTAGGTGTATATCAGAAACATTATGAATAGTTGTGATGAATGGTTTGAAAAACCGACAAGTTGAAGATTGAGACACTTATGCAGCATATGGGAATCTTTATTAGGAAACGTTTCGCCACACAGTGGCTTCATCAGTCCAATACAAAGAGGAAGGCGTAAGGAGAGGAGGAGAATGAGGTAATCAGTCCCTCAACCTGGAGTCGATGTGTTCAGTCCATCAATCTTGTAGAATGTACAGCATAGGGCCGTAGACGTGGCTTATATACTGTAGTGAGGTGACGTGAAGCAGATGGAGGCGGGGTCATAGTGGTACCATCCACTAGTCGAAGTAGGTCTTCGTCCAAAGGTTGAACAAGTGTTGAAGAATTCTTTGTAACAAGACCCCATGATGCTGCCGTGTCTGACAGTTGTGATGAATGGTTTGAAAAACCGACAAGTTGAAGATTGAGACACTTATGCAGCATATGGGAATCTTTATTAGGAAACGTTTCGCCACACAGTGGCTTCATCAGTCCAATACAAAGAGGAAGGCGTAAGGAGAGGAGGAGAATGAGGTAATCAGTCCCTCAACCTGGAGTCGATGTGTTCAGTCCATCAATCTTGTAGAATGTACAGCATAGGGCCGTAGACGTGGCTTATATACTGTAGTGAGGTGACGTGAAGCTTCACGTCACCTCACTACAGTATATAAGCCACGTCTACGGCCCTATGCTGTACATTCTACAAGATTGATGGACTGAACACATCGACTCCAGGTTGAGGGACTGATTACCTCATTCTCCTCCTCTCCTTACGCCTTCCTCTTTGTATTGGACTGATGAAGCCACTGTGTGGCGAAACGTTTCCTAATAAAGATTCCCATATGCTGCATAAGTGTCTCAATCTTCATTATGAATAGTGTTACTTAGTGGACCGGAACAGCCACTGATAATGCCTCTTTTTATATATATTTATATCATTTATATACGTAACTATGTATATTGTATGAACTGTTTTAAATAAAAAAAAAAAAAAATTCGCAGGGAAACAGATCCTGGGGAATGTGAACTAAGATTTCTTAGATGGGGAGTCCTCTACCAGCCTCAATCAATCAAGCTTGTTCTCTAAGGATTACAATGCCGGGTTTACAGATTTTGGATATTGTGTGGTTTACATGTTTTAAAATAATTACAGAGGGGGCCACTAGGAGTAGGACACCTAGCATGGCTAGGCATTTCGGGTACTTAGATTAATGATTAACTTTAAATTATTACAGATTATGGTATTAAGGCTAAGTGACTACATTATAGTTTGAGTTTAGCATTGTGAATGCTTTTGTTTTGGCACAATACAAAGTGGATATTGGAGTACCATAGGCAAACTTATGACTAGTTAGGATTCATTATTTTAAGATTAAGATTAGTATTTCTGGGTTTATAGTCAGTGGGTGAGTGAGTAATTGTGAACCACCAGGTGGTTATCATGTAGTTAGTTGTTGGGGGGTATCAGGGAGATAAGATGTTTTTTAACTGTAGTTTTGAAAGTGATGAATGTATCTGCAGTTCTAGAGTTTTCAGGTAGGGTGTTCCAGATTTTAGGCCCTTTGACACACATTGAATTTTTGTAAAGGTTTAGTCGAACACGGGGAATGTCAGATGTTTGTGTCTGGTGTTATGCCTGTGGATCCTGTCACAACTATCAAGAAAGCATTTTAGGTCAAGGTTAATATTGGAATTTAAGGTCCTGTAGATATAGATTGCACAGTAGTTAAGTGTGGATGTTCTGAACAGGGAGTAAGTTTAGATCTATGAAGAATGGGGGGGGGGGGTTTGCCTGGAGAGGGTTTTGGGGGTCAACGCCCCCGCGGCTCGGTCTGAGACCAGGCCTCGTGGTCTGAGACCAGGCCTCGTGGTCTGAGACCAGGCCTCGTGGTCTGAGACCAGGCCTCGTGGTCTGAGACCAGGCCTCATGGTCTGAGACCAGGCCTTGTGGTCTGAGACCAGGCCTTGTGGTCTGAGACCAGGCCTCGAGGTCTGAGACCAGGGCTTGTGGTCTGAGACCAGGCCTCGAGGTCTGAGATGAAGCCTCGTGGTCTAAGGCCAGACCTCATGGTCTGAGACCAGGCCTTGTGGTCTGAAACCAGACCTCGGCTCCTTCAAGGATTTCCTTCCAGCAGAGTTGGAGTTATTTTTCATGGGAATTGGGAATTACCGTGTCTTGGGATGGCCTGTTGCACATAGAAAAAAAAAATGAAAATATCTTCATCACAGCTAACCAGCAAAAAGCAATAAAGGATTCCCTTAAGAGGGACCCATTATGTACCTCTGTAATCTTTTGACACCTTGCCCACAAGATGGGTATGGGGTGCATAATAAAGATGATAAACCAAAACTTAAGGGGGTAGGAGAGGCTTTAATGTTGAAATGCTTTTGATCCAAGGAACTGGAATTATTCTCCCCTTCTTATTATATTCGTAGAGGGGGATGGAATATTTACCCCGTAGAAATCATACAAAGCCAGAGGGATGAGGTAATCTTGATAAAAGGAAGGGGTCGTCAGGTATAATTCCTTGAATCAAGGGCACTCATCGGCATCAAGTAGCCTGCCTGGAAGAGTCAAACCATTTGCAACCATATAATTATTACTATAGTCAAAATGAAACGATAAACATGAGACACTGACAAGAACACACACGGGCTGTGAATCGACCCCTGCAACCACAAATAGGTAAGTACACACACACGCCCTATACCAAACCAGTGGGTCACCACCAGTAACCTGTGACACTGTCCTTCAGGGGCAGGTTCGGCACTGTGTACCTGGCAGAGGACAAGAGCACGGGACAAAAGTTCGCAGCTAAGTTCGTCAACACCAAAAGGAACCAGGACCGAGCTAACGCCGAGCGGGAGGTGGAGATCATGAAATCTCTCAACTCCGACTCTCCTCATCCCAGGCTTATACAGCTCTATGACGCCTACAACATGACAAAGGAAATGTGCCTTGTCCTCGAGATGTGAGTACAATTAAGACTTTACCTCTGTATTGTTGTGCATGGATTTCATTGCTGGCCTTGAGTATCGATGAACTTCAATGCCCTGAGGACTGTGATGAATTCCTCTGTTCTCTCCCAGGGAAACTTGTCCTTTAAATTATAAATGTGTGAATGATTAATTAAAAGAAATTAAATGTCTTTAGAAATGTCAGTAAGATCAAGATTAATTTAGGTAAAAAGGCACATTTGCAGCATTTGGATATTTTATGAAGGCTATTTTTTTTCAATGAGAAGCTAGAAAAAACTCACGGTAAGCAAAGTAAGTTCAACATAAAAATATCCAAACACTGTAAATGTGTAAATTTACCTAAATTTGTGGGTATACAAATAAAGAACAATAACTTTTCAGCAGGGTTATAAGTACTTCTGGTTTTGACAGAGTGGATGGTGGAGAACTGTTCGAAAGAGTGATTGATGACGATTTTGTCTTGTCCGAGAAAGCCTGCACCGTATTTATACGTCAGATCTGTGAGGGCATAGAGTTTATACACTCCAAGAACATCCTGCATCTGGACATGAAGGTATGCAGATTTAGAGGTTAGTAATCACAATCCTATTAGATTCAAATCAGCCCCCAAAGACCCCTAAAGTAGGGTAGCTAAGCAACTCCAACTGACATCTATATACTCACCAGTTAAATCAGCACAACACCTTCCCAGTAGTTATACCACTATGACTCCTTGATTCCTAGTAGCTAAACTACCACAACACCTCCAATAGTTAACCACAATTTCCCAGTCAACAACCACAACACATTGCTCCTCAATAAGCAACTAAACACATTACACAAATAACTCGCACGTAGAAGGAAACTTTATGATGGTGTTTTGGTCCAAGTCGGACTGAAATGTCACCATAAAGTTTCCTTTTATATGTAGGTTATTTGTGTATTGCTTCAGTCACAGTATTGTGCTTTTTGCGTAACTAAAAATATTCCCATTAAACAACCACACCATCACCTCCTGTAGTTATACATCATATTCCTGGTAGTTAATCCATAACAGCACTCAAACTCTCCCCAGTAGTGAAACACTTCCCCAATAATAAAACAACCACAACACATCACCAAGTAGTTAAACAACCACAACACTTTTCCCAGTAGTTAAATACTTCCCCATTAGTAACACCACAACACCTTCCCATAGTAAACTAATAACCTCCCAACATCTGCTCCCCCACCCGTTTCTTATGGTAAGCAGGTTACCGACCCCAACCTCTTCCCCAGCCGGAGAACATCCTGTGCTTGTCGCGGGAGGGCAACAGAATTAAGATCTGCGACTTCGGGCTGGCTCGCCGCTATGATCCACGCAAGAAGCTACAAGTTCTCTTTGGCACACCAGAATTTGTAGCCCCAGAGGTCGTCAACTTTGAGCCCATCAGCTTCGGCACTGACATGTGGAGCGTCGGCGTCATCACCTATGTCCTGTAAGTCCTTCTCGTGGCCAAGCTTGCAGAAATTTGAGAAAATTCACCAACAAGCCCTTTTCTTTGGTAGCTTTGAGGCTTTTAATGACTGCTATATTTTGTAAGTCATCCAGTTCTGTGATATTGTAATTTCATTTATTCTGATTCCTTGAGAAACTGTTCTAAAAATCTCTGAACTAAAAGTCCTCCACTCCAGGAGCTAAAAAAAAAAGAGCAAGAATATGAGAAAAGAAATAGGGCTAGAGTATCAACCCTACAGGCATGAATCAGACATATTACCAATACACCATCAATATTTAAATCACTTTTTTAAAGTATTAATGACCATTGATGCTGGTGACTCCTGATCCCCTATCCTTCCCTTTCTTGGATCAAACCTGATTACATCTCACTACCCAGATGCTGCACAACCCTGTCGAGTTTAGCATTTTTCCACGAATATACGCACAGTAATACGAACAACAGAACTCGTAAGTAGCACTGGGACACCTGTAAAAGATATGGGGCAACAGTGGTGCCTCTGTATGAAGGATGGAAGTGCATATACTTAGGACATTTTTATTAGATACATTTTGGTCCTTGGTCACTCCAATTGATATATTATTACATATTATTATTATAATCAAAATCAAGTGCTAAACCCACAAGGGTCATAGAGTGCTACTCTAGTTGTTAAAAAAAAAAGTGAAACCATATTACAGTACATATTGCCAATAATGCAAGTCATGAGTGAAGGTCAGGTGAAGGTGTTAGGTGAAGGTGTTAGGCAGCCGAGAAGCTGTATGTAGTACTATTACTGTATGCATGAGATGATGTATTTGCCAGCCCTTTCTTCTATGGTGTTGGAAGTAAGAATTAAGGAGGCTTCATTACAGTGGTGCCTATCCCTATGGGGTAGATCATTTTAACACTGTTCCTCTTTAGACCTGTAAATGACATGAACATTGCTAGTCATCTCATCTTGATTGCAAGCATCTTTACATTACCTGGAGTTTACCTGGAGAGAGTTTCGGGGGTCAACGCCCCCGCGGCCCGGTCTGTGACCAGGCCTCCTGGTGGATCAGCGCCTGATCAACCAGGCTGTTGCTGCTGGCTGCACGCAAACCAACGTACGAGCCACAGCCCGGCTGATCAGGAACTGACTTTAGGTGCTTGTCCAGTGCCAGCTTGAATACCTTGAAAAATTCTTCCAGACTTCTACATTTTTTATTGTATTAGCCATTTCTCCCCAAGTTCAGATGACAAAGAAAGAAACTTATTCGCTATCACTCATTCCAAATGATCACACAGTTCAAATGATTCGTCAGACCATAATACCCTCATCCATCCTTCAGAATGAAGGTACTATACTTTCACCTCAAGAACTCAGTCCAGCTTATTTGTGTCCCTGAAGGCCACCCCATAGATGTTACCCTCCTCAAATTCCAACAGCATGTCAAATTCCAAAAACCACTAGTCTTTACTCCGATATAACACTTTTACACATTTCTACATGCTTGATATTAAAGCCCTGACCAATCAGAACCTTCACACCCTCCTTCCAACCCTTCCTGGGATGTTCCTTACAATTTTTCTGGCTCAGTCCTTCTTAAATAAACATACCATTTCAACAACCTCTGCAATCTTTGAATTATTCTTTTTATACTACCACACCTTATAATTTCTATGCTCATTATTCTTTGCATAATATTCACAGCACATATTGATATCTCACTCATCTCCATAATATATTGACTTAGTTTTTCTCAAATTATTTGCTGGTATATTGCCATTGTTACGTTGAATATCTGGTGTCTGCCATAAACTGTATTCATTAGGGATTTTCCCTCATTATATTGTCAGGGACTTTTTCAATTTATCAGATTATTTTTTGGTGTAAAATTATGGTATTGTAGGGTACTATTGAACGCCATCATGGCTGGTAGGAAAATATGGAATTTTCAAGCCGACAATTGTAATTGTGTTTAGCCCTTAAACTGTCCAAACGTAGATCTACGTTTGTACGCGTAGCGCTCCGAACGTAGATCTACTTTTTTTAGTTTCTTATGGAGAAAATTAAGGTCGGAGCACTACGCACACAAACGTAGATCTACGTTTGGACAGTTTAAGGGTTAAAATTTCAATTTACTTTCACAAGAAATACAGAGTATCGTAGTAAATTGTATGATACTGTACTGCACTTTAATTATTATATTTAAATTATGATCTAGATTAAAGTTCACTATTATTTATATGTAATGCAGCATCTCTGAGTACATATCATGCTTAAACTATTTTTTCATCACGTATCCTTATTTTTCTTTTGTCATTTACTCTTAGGTTGGCTTTTACAAACCTAAAAAGATGATTTAGTTTCATTCTGGTGTTCTATTTCTTTTTCTAATTTTTTTCTGCCTCTTGTTATATTGGTACAGTGCTCTCTGCAAATTTGTGGTACATAATTTAAATACAGTGGTTCCTCGAATTTTGAACAGCTCCCAACTTGAACAATTATGTAAGTGTATTTTTGGGTGTCTGAAATGGACTAATCTAATTTACATTATTCCTTATGAGAACAAATTCATTCGGTAACGGCACTCGAACAGCCTTCTGGAACAAATTAAAGCCGAAATTCAAGGTACCACTGTATGCCGTTCTCAATTATTAACAATTTTTACTGAAGGGTCTCCCACAGATAAATACAGTAATAATATTTACACTTTTTTTTACAGTGTCCCACCTCTTTTTCGTGCTTGGCACACGACTCGTATACAATTGAAAACCCACCATAAATTTTGTTGAAAATGCTCTCTGTGATTTTACACACAAATTTCTTTCTTTTGAACATTATTTCTTATTTAAGTTAATTCAGAAATGTATAAATGAGTTTTGAGAAATATTCAAAGAGACGTGATCTCTCAAACACAAAATGAGAAAATAACCGAACCAGATTATATTATTATAATTATCAAATAAAGAGGTAAATATTTGAACCAGAATTTGTCCTACCAACAGCATTTGGTGGTACAGAATCTGAGGTTCCCTATTTATTGGGATCTCTAGGAACATATCTCCCATGAATTTGTAGGGAGCATTGTACTGTATATTCCTTTCTGGCTTGCTTGAATTTCTGGCAAGGCTAATTTGGCATGCTTCCTATATTGGTTCAAAGTTCTTTGTTTATTCTTCACAGCACATTTCATTAGTATTTTTTCTATTTCTCTTCTCCCTTTTTGGACGATTATAATAATCAAAATGAAGTGCTAAACCCACCAGAGTCATAGGGTCTTTTTTTGGATTGAAACAATTAATTTTCACCTATGTTGAAGTAGTCAGAATTTTTTATCTATCTTTGTAATATATTTTTTTTGTTTCTCAGAAACACTGCCACAAATGATCATTTTTATAATCTGATTAATTAATCATTTTTCTGCTAGAACATGATTTCTTTTACTAAGTGAGTTCAGATACATTAATTTAAAATTTTCTTTTGTAGTAGATAATGTGGTAAGTTTAGAATTGACAGTACAGTGGACCCCCGACTAATGATCAGCTCCCAACTTGACCAATTATGTAAGTGTATTTTTGTAAGTGCTTTTGTAGGTGTATTTTTGGGGGTCTGAAATGGACTAATCTAATTCACAATATTCCTTATGGGAACAAATTCGGTCTATAACGGCACCCGATCAGACTTCTGGACTGAAATAATATCGTTAGTCGGGGGTCCACTATTACCTTTTCTTACCCAAGTTGCATTTTTATATGTCATTACATTAATTAAGAAATTGGGTTGATTATTTACTTTCCAGCCTCATCAGCTGTCTAGTCTGTTTCTTTATAGTCAAAATTCTTGATATCCATGATTTTTAGATAATAGTTCCCTAAATATAATATACAGCCCCTCTAATATTATTTTATTCTTGTGGAAGTGCTAAATAGTTCTCATTTATTGTTTGGTGTGTTTGTTCAATATATGCATGAAAGGAAGGAAATTACCAAAGGATTGGCAGAGAAATTGCGTACTTCCCCTATGTATAAGGAAAAAAAGGAAGATAGTGATTATGTATGAGTGATGGTGAAGGTATTGAATGATGATGAAGGTTTTTTTCTTGTTTTTGGGGGTCACCCTGCCTCGGTGGGAAATGGCCGATGTCTTAAAAAAAAAAAAAAAAAAAAAGTCTGCTTAGTATACCAGGGAAAGCTTATAGTAGAATTATTACTGAAAGGGATCAGGGATGATTTAGGAAAGGTAGGGGGGTACACCGAGTCTTTACATTGAAGCATTTAAGTGAACAGTACTTACAGTACTTATGTTTGTTGCATTTATGGATTTAGAAAAGCATATGATGGAGTAGATAAGGAAGTCATGTGGTGGATGTTGCAATAGGACAGGAGGTAGGTTACTAAAAGGAGTTAAGAGTTTTTATGCAGAGTGAGGCTTAGATTAGGATATATAGGAGGGAGGAAGACTATTTCCCAGTGAAAGTAGGACATGGGGATGTGTGATGTCACCACAGTTGTTCAGCATATTTTAGATGGGGTTGTAGAAGTAAATGCTAGAGGTTTTGGAAAGGTGTAGGATTGAAAGATGTTGGATCTGATACAAAGTGGGAGTTATTCCAGTTTCTCTTTCCTGATGACAGTGGTCTTTTAGGGGATTCTGAAGACAAATTACAGAGATTAGTGGATAAATTTGGCAGGGTATGTAAAAGAAGGAAGTTAAAAGTGAACCTAGGAAAGAGCAAGATGATGAGGGTAACAAAAAGAAGTCTAGGCAATGATAGATTGAATATCAGATTGAAGGGAGAGTGGAGGAAGTGGGTTCATTTAGATATTTGGGAGTGAACATATCAGCAGATGGGTCTATGAAAGATGAGGTGAACCACACTAGACAGATAAGGGGTAGAGTAGGTAGGGTGTTGAAACATCTGTGGAATGAAAAAAGTCTTATCTATAGAGGCAAAAAAGGAAATGTACCAGAGTGTAATGGTACTAACACTATTTTTATGGTGTGGGGCATG